CATGCGCGCGCGAAGCCCGTTTGGTAGCATGTCTTGAAAATGTTGAAGAACCGATGGCTTTCTGAAGAATTCGCAAAATCATGCGAGCATGGTTTAATCCTTGACCATGTGTTTTGTATGTTGTTGGTCATGCGGCTTTGAAATCCTTACGGGACCTAAGGTATCTGAAGGATTCCGGAATGCGCGCGCCGACGCGTGCGTGTGCACTTCGGCGCATTTGCGCAAAGAGTGTTTGTCTTCTTATGACTTTTGACAAACGAATGCGCGCATATGTTTTGTTACAGAAGGTGACGGAGGGTCGATAACGGCCTGCGTGCGAAGGTATGAACTCATTTTTCGGATGGGCGACGGGGCAGAACCATATGTACATTGCAATACGAAAAAAGTGTGTCGTTAACCCCGGGGGGAAGGAGGGGGGTAGATCCTAACACCTATGAAATGCGATCTGTGTTTGCAATCCCTGTTGTGCAGTATACCCGCCACCGTGCCTCTGGCACGACGTGGAGTGCCCCAAGGCTCATGCTGTGCTACTGCTGCTGCTAGATTGTAATTCTTTATTCTCCCGCACCAACCGCTTCCCAGGCCGTCTTGGGCCGTCGTGGGGCTTCTTGGGCTGGCCCCCGTGAGTTCTTCGGTGTTTCCTGCGGGTCCTCTGGGCGCTGTGACCGCCTATTACGGTAGGAAAAAAGCCCGACTCGCCGACACAACGCTCAAAGACGTTGTCAGTGGCCTCCACGTGGCCCCAGACACCTCCAAAACGCCCAAGAAGGCCTCCAAGAGGCCTCCCAAGAGGACCCGTAAGTCGATGATAGATCTTAGCGTTCTCGCCATTTCGGCTTTCCGACGCCCCCAGACGCCCCAGGGGCCCCCAAGGCCGCCCCAAGTTGGGCCAAGAGGAATCCAAGAGGGACCAACAACGACACAAGAGGGCCCTAAGACAACCCCAAAGACGCCCACAAAGGCCCAAGAGGGCCCCAAGAGGGCCCCAAAAGGGGCCCAAGAGAGGGAACGCGGACCGAACATGCTAGCCTTCCACCACAAGGGGCCCCCAGCAGGCCCCAAGAGGCGCCCATGAGGCCCCACGAGGCCCCCAAGAGGCCCCCGAGAGGACCCAAGAGGCCCCCAAGAAACTTTCAAGAGGCCCGTAGGCGCCCCCAAACGGCCCGCAAGAGGCGTCCAAACTGCCCCCAAGAGGCCCCCGAAAAGCCTCCCACGAGATCCCAACGAGCACCCACTATGCTTCATACCAAAAACCCAGGCACGGTGGCGGCATGGGCCGAACGCCATTCGATGGTGTGCGGTCTCTTTTTTGCAATACTAGCGGCGTAAAACATGTTGCGCAATCTTGGTTGTGCGCTCTATGGTGTGCAAACTATGTTGTGCAATATATGTGGTGCGACCTATGTTGTGCAACTCACCTTCTCAAACTTGAAACTGTCCACTCCACTGCTCGCGCAATCATCATACCCACCCACCCGCAACTTAGTTTGCTGAACCCATGCGGCGGCGATTGCGATGAGTGCTGGGTGTTGGCTGGTGCATCCCTGCGGCCGCGATAGCCCGCGTTCTCGCGCGCGAAGCGGCCAGCTAGTTTGGCGCGGCCGACGCGAAAGCGGTGGCGCTGACCGCTCGGCACATCCCCGCGGGCACTTCCGTGCGAGTCGGCGATTTGGGCGGGCCCGGTATCATGGCAACGTTGAGAACGGTAGACGCGATGATGATCATAGCGATGCTGGTGACCATGCTGGCAGCGACAATTGGGCAGCCAGTGACGGCGCCGATGCTGATCACGCTGACGACGATGACGGCGTCTTCGCGTCGGTGATGAGGATTTTGGAAAGAGTTCGACATGCGCGCGCGGCAAACGCGCGAAGGTGGATCGCATTGTCGGAGGTTGGGGGGTGAGATCGCAGTGAAACGGAGACTCCCCACCGGGAAATCGGTTTCGGTTTCGTGTTCGTGTCGTGCGGGCGGTCGAGGCGAAGCTGCGCGTGATCGTCCTGTAGCTAGGCCGAAGTAGGAGCGAAAGTCCGTCGCCCAGCAGCCAGTGGCCGTTTGGGCTGGGCGGTGTCTCGGGTGTCCCGGTGTCCCGGGTGTCCCGGTATCGATATTGAGATCGACGTGGTGCCCCGAGGTGTCCTGTGGTGTCCTATGGTGTCCCGTTGAATGAGATCGATAATGATATCGATAATGAGATCGACAAGTGTCCCGTGGTGTCCTATGGTGTCCCGTTGGGTGAGATCGATAGTGAGACCGATACTGAGATCGATGTGGTGTCCCGAGGTGTCCCGTGGTGTCCCAAAAAGAGAGATCGATGGTGAGATCGACATGTGTCCCGCCGTGTCCCGTTGAGTGGGAACGATGATGAGATCGATGGTTACATCGACAGGTGTCCCTCGGTGCCCCGTGGTGTCCTACGGTGTCCCGTTGAGTGAGATCGATAGTGAGATCGATAATGAGACCGATAAAGAGATTGAGAGGTGTCCCGCGGTGGCCCGTGGTGGCCCGTGGTGTCCCGTGGTGTCCCGCTGAATCAGATCGATCGTGAGATCGATAGCGAGATCGACAGGTGTCCCGTGGTGTCCTATGGTGTCCCGTTGGATGAGATCGACAGTGAGATCGATACTGAGATCGATACTGAGATCGATGTGGCGCACCGAGGTGTCCCTCGGTGTCCCGTGGTGTCCCGTTGAGTGAGATCGATAGTGAGATCGATGTGGTGTCACGAGGTGTCCCGTGGTGTCCCGTTGAGTGAGATCGATAGTGAGACCGATAATGAGATCGAGAGGTGTCCCGAGGTGTCCCGTGGTGGCCCGTGGTGTCCCGTGGTGTCCCGCTGAATGAGGTCGATAGTGAGATCGACAAGTGTCCCGTTGTGTCCCGTTGAGAAAGTTCGATAGTGAGATCGATTGAGTCAGATGTTGGTCCCCTCCCCTCTCCCCCCCAACAACCTCCTTATCACCCGAAGGGTGGTCGTATAGGTATTATGTGACTCGGGTCGTGACACACCACCACGCCCGCCAAGGCGTTCGAGCGATTTCGACATGCGCGCGCGAAGCCAATTTGGGAGCATGTTATGAAACTGTTGGGACAACATTTGGCTTTCTCAAGAAATCGCAAGAACGCGCGCGCAAGTTGTGTTGGAAACTTTGGGTTGCGACGCCCGGAGTTGTTGTATGATTTTGGACCCTCGATTTTGAAATCCCGACGAAACCTACGGTTTTTGGAGGATTTCGTCATGCGCGCGCGACGACGCGCGCATGCGTGATTCGTCCCACTTTTCGCGAAGGACTCTTGACAACTGATGATTTGTGATCAACGAGTGCGCTCGCATAGTATCTGTTGCAGAAGATGGCGGGAGGGGGCCGATACCCTCGGATGGAATGAAGTCATATCCAGAATGGACGACGGGGCAGAACCATATGCAAATTGCAAAACGAGAAAGGGAACCGATAATCGGGAGGGGGTAGAGTCTATTCTTTGTAGAACAAGAGAACGTATGTTTTGGAGCATATGTGGTGCAAACTATGTGCTGCAGCCCATGTGGTGCAATCCATGTGGCGTAATCTATGCGGTGAAATTCTGCGAGGTCGCGACGAGGCAGCGGCGGTGAAGCGACGGAACCAACACAGTCGAGAGACCGACAATCAGGCCCAGACGACGGGCGGCGACAAGGCGGCGACGGCGACAACATAGGCGCCAGACCGACAACCAGGACCAGACGACGGGCGGCGACAAGGTGGCGACGGGGCGGCGACGGCGACAACATAGCCGCCAGACCGACAACCCCCCCAGTTCCGAATTCCAGAAACAAAAACCCCTCAGTGCAAGCACTGTTTCTGAAACTTTGCGTGTTGGTACAAGTCGAGTCAGCAACTACGAGTGCCAGTCCACGTATCAGTACCAGTACATGTGCTAGTAAAAGCAATAGTTGTAGCAGTCGCAACTTAAGTATCAGTATGGTACTCGTCTCAATATTAGCCTTGGAATTGATACTCGTCCTCGTCCTTCTCAAGCGACGCCTGCCCGATACGGCCAGACCCTCCCCGCCCACGCCGTCCCCCGCCTCGTGCAAACCCTCGTCCTCCTCCTCCACCTCCTCCTCCTCCTCCTCCTCCTCCTCCCACCTACCTCCCACTTTACCTGCTCCTCCTCTTCCCTCCTCCTCCCTCCTCCTCCTCCTCCTCCTCCTCCTCCTCCTCCTCCTCTCCCCCTCCCCTCCTCCTCCCCCTCCCCCTCCTCCTCCCTCCTCCTCCTCCTCCTCCTCCTCCTCCTCCTCCCCAGCTCCTCCTCCTCCCCCTCCCTCCTCCTCCTCCGCCCCCTCCTCCTCCTCCTCCTCCTCCTCACCTCCTCCTCCTCTTCCTCCTCCTCCTCCCCATCCTGATCCCCTTCCTCCTCCCCATCCTCCTCCTCCTCCCTCCTCCTCCTCCTCCTCCTCCTCTTCCTCCTCCTCCTCCTCCTCTCCTCTCCTCATCCTCCTTCTCCTCCTCCTCTTCCTCCTCCTCCTCCTCCCCCTCCTCATCCTCCTTCTTCTTTTCCTCCTCCGTCCTCCGTCCTCCCTCCGTCCTCCTCCTCCTCCTCCTCCTCCTCCTCCTCCTCCTCCTCTATCTCCTCCTCCTCTACCCCTCCCCCTCCTCCTCCTCCTCCTCCTCCTCCATCTCCTCCCCCTCCTCCTCCTTCTCCTCCTCCTCCTTCTCCCCCTCCTTCCTTCTCCTTGCTCTGCGCCCCCACCGGGCTCCTCTTCTCTCGTATGCTGCATGACGCCTCGGCTGCCAGTAGCCAGGGCCTTTCGGTTGGAGCACACGCCGCGCCATGCCCCTCGTCCCCCCCACACACACACACACACGTACACACAAACCTCGACCTCGACCTCGTCCTTGTGGTCCTCCTCCTCCTCCTCCTCCTCCTCCTCCTCCTCCTCCTTGTAGTCCTCCTCCTCCTCCTCCTCCTCCTCCTCCTCCGCCTCCTGCGACGCCCCACCGCGAGAGGGGGGCCCGGGCCTGGTACCGCTGCAGGTTGCGGGGAGCTCGCGCGCGTGCCTCCTGCGAGGGATGGGGCGGGCGGGGGCAGGCGGACGCCTCGCTCCTTGCCAGACGCGAAGACGAAGCCAGGACGAAGACTGTTTCGGGTGAGGGTAAATCGGGAATCTCTGAGATCTGGCGGCTCCGGAGGATGCATCGGGCGTCGCGGCCTCGGGGATGCTCTGCAAGGGATGTCACTTGTCCTAGCCCTGCTCGAGACGTGCTCGCGCCCTCCACAAACATCAGGATGGATGTTTTGTTGCTACATGTTCGGCCTCGGGGGGGGCCTGGCAAGGCCCCGGAGCCGTCAGACAACGACCAAGGATGAGAGACGGGCCCTGGGGAAAGCGTCGGGACTCCTCTTCCGGGGGCCGCGTAGTTGCAAAGACCGCGACGTCGCATGTCTTGGATCGCTGCTCTCCTCTCATCGCTGCTCCCGCCCTCCCCCCCCCGTCCCATCTCCCCCCACCCCCCCTTCTGCCCCCCTCCCCTCCCAACCCCCTCCCTCCCCTCGCGCCTCCAACCCCGAGCCACTCTCCCCCGGGCGAGGGAGGCGAGGACACGAGGAGCAGGACGAGGAGGACCAGGAGAGGTCACGGAGGATGGTGAAGATGCACGTGCTTACGAGAAGTATCATGATGATGGTTCGACGCATTCGAGGATGTCGGTCGCTTCCCGCTCAGCGCAGCCTCCCGCACAGGGTATGTTCGCTTTGGCGCTGCGGTCGCAAGGCTATGCCCATACACAGCGCGCACACGCACACACGCACCACACACACACACCACACACACACACATACACACGTACGCACGCACGCACGCACGCACGCACACAAACACAAACACACGAACACAAGCACAAGCACAAACACAAACACGAACACGAACACGAACACGAACACGAACACGAACACAAACACAATCACAAACACGAACACAAGCACAAACACGAACTCGAACACAAACACAAACACAAACACGAGCACAAACACAAGCACAAGCACGAACACGAACACAAACACAACTTCTAACACGACCGCAAACACAACCACACTCATAATCACAAACACAATCACAATCACAAACAGGAACACGAACACGAACACACACACACACACAAACACAAGTACAAACACAAACACACACACATAAACATGAGCACACACAAACACACACAAACACAAACATAAACACGAACACAACCAACCACAAACACAAACACAAACACAAACACAAACACAAACACAAACACAAACACAAACACAAACACGCACGCACGCACGCACACACACACACACTCACACGCACACTCACACTCCTACACACACTCCCACACACACACACATTCACACACACACACACACGCCTACGCAGACCAGCCAGAGAGCTGCTACGATACCCGACGCCTCCAGCCGAAGCAAGCACCTGCCGCAACTGCTCAGCTCAGAGCGGCGACGCCGACCCACACATTCGCTCGGGCACGTCAGTGGCGCAGCCGTGCCAGAGCAACACCGTGTTGGCCGCGCCGTTGCTCTGGCACAGCGCCGGGAGACCAAGCCCGAACGCGTTCGGTCCGAGGACCAACTGCGCCCCTGGATCGCCCACCAACTCTCATGAACGGACTGGCGGCAGAGCGGCCAGCGGGGACTGACCTCGAGCCACAATGCGGCAGCAGAGAAACTTAGTTACATACCATGCCAGGCCAACGCGCCCTTCCCGACGAGGCCCCGGCGTGACTGGGCCTCCAAAAATACACCACCGTCGAGTCAGCGCCGTCGGCGGCCTCCCGGGCCTCGCGAGCCTTCGCGCGCAGGCCGTCGCAAGTCGCGGCCATGCAGCTCCCCGTGCCCAGCTCGAGCTCTTCTGCAGGCCGCGGCGCAAGTGCCCGTCGTGCTGCTCGGGCCCGGATGTGCCGCTCAGCGATGTGGTCCTCGGGGCTCTGCCGCCCTAACGTCGGCGTCGTGCTCACGACGTGACCTGTCCGCTTGCTCGGCGTCGTTGAGCTGGCTCCCGGGGGCCCTCCTGCACGTGCTCGCCTTGCCGTTTGGAGCCGTGGTGCGAAAGGCGCTGGTCGACCTCGCGCGCCGCCGCGCCCCGCCCTGGCCTTCCGCGACGCGCTGCTGGCATCCGTCGTGCAAGCTGGCGCTCGTCGTGTTCAGAGCGGTCGCTGCGGGTCCCCAGTGTGCAGCTCGGCGATGGTGGGGCCCCGCAGCTGCTGGTCGCCGTCGTCGTGGTGCCCGTTCCCGCCCAGGCGCCCGCCGTGAGCCCGAGGCTGTCGTGCCTCGAGGTCCTCCGAGGAGCCTGGGGAGGCGGCGTGCCCGTCTGTGGCGCGCGAGCTGTCGTCTGAAGCTCCTGCTCCTCGAAGTCCTCGTCGTCGGCCCCCTGCACCGCCTCCGAGCCCTCGCAGCTCGGCTCCCTCCTCGTGTGCGGGGCGCCCAACTCCTTGGCCCTGTCCCACCGACTTCGGCGGGGTGCTCCCTCCTCGGGGATCTTCTGACCCGGGTCAATCCAGACCCGGGTCAGCAGGAAACCGAAAACTACAATGCAGGAAAAAGAACTGCAACGCAGGCCTTCGCAGACCCGGGTCAGCCAATAGGCGCGGCCGCCTCGCGGCCACGAGCGGCTCCCTAACCCGGGTCAGCCAGAGGGGGTCTTCGCAGGATCCTGCAGGATCCGGTGCCCTGGCTGACCCCCGTTTGCATTGACCCCCGTCTCAAGGCTCCCGACCTCCCCCGTCGGGGGAGGGTCCGGGGGGGAGCCCAGGAGGGGGTCCTGGGAGGGGGTCAGATACGCGCCTCCCCCGGGGGTCCCGGGGCTGCACAAAAGACCATACCAAAACAAGCCAAGAGTGCCCCAAGAGGCCCCCGAGACGGTCCAAAAAGTGCCCCCAATCGCCAAACGGTCGGTCCAACACGCCTTCACGCTCCCGGACTGCCCGGGAGACCTCCAAGACGCCCCAAGAGCCCTTCAAAGGCACTCCCGTCAGGGCCCCGAGAGGCAAACATAATGGATTTCTTTTTGTATGAAAAAAAGATTCGGGCGTTCTGGCCTTTTCCGCTTCCCACCGCTCCAAGACAGCCGAAGAGGACCTCCAGACCGCCCCAAAACGGCCGAAGAGGCTCCAAAGAACGCTCCAAAATACTTCAAGAGAACCCAAAGATAGCCCAACACGCCTCCAAGACGGCTCCAAGAGCGTGCCTTCACGGGGAAACCGAACGGACATGTCGAGCCCTCGGCCCCAAAAAGCTCCAAGGAGGCCCCAGGGGGCTCCCAATAAGGCCTCAAGAAGCCCACAAGAGGCCGCCAGGACACCCTAAAAGGCCCACAAGAGGCCCCCAAGAGACCCCACAATTCCGACCCGGAGGCCCCTGAGAGCCTTCCCAAGAGACCCCAAGAAGCATCCCTGAGGTCCCGGGCCCACGGCTGCGTCGTCGTCGCCGCCGCCGCCGCCGCCATCGTCGTGGACGTCCCTCGGCACAGTCGTTTCCTGTCGCTCGCTCTCCTCCCTCACTCAGCTCCAGGTTCGTCCTGGTCCCCAGCTGTCGTTCCCTCCTCTGCCCCCTGCTGCTGTTGCTGTTCCGGGTCGTCCACATCGGGGGCCGCTTGGCGGGAAGGGCGCGCATGGGCAGATGCTCGACATCCCCAGCCCAGACAGCTTCGGACACACATCGCTGCGGCACGCTTTTGGCGTGTCGGGTTGACACGTTTGGCGTCCATATCGAACGTGTCGACTGCGCTCAGGAGCCCTCGGAGAAGCTTCTGAGCGCCGGGGGGGGTTGGTCGGAGCTTCGACTCGCAACGTCGACGTCCCCCTTCAGTGTCGGCGGCACCGGCCGTAAGGCCTTCGCAATAACACAAACAATGGTCTCAGAACATAAGCCCGATTGATAGCAACAAATACGGTCCCAACCAGGAAAACTATGAAGAAATATGTCGTTCACAGCACACGAGGTTCCGAGAACATTATTTGGTGGGCCTGATGGGTAAGCGGTTTCTTTTTTGTGTATAAAATGAACTCTGTAAATGTATAAACATATAAATAAAGATTTCGACATATGGGGTGTGGGAGGGAGAGGGGTGGTCTGGGTCTGGGCTGGTGCTTCGTCGATGCTCAGTCGATCTGGTATTGCCAGCCGCGCAAGCATCCAATCGGACTTCATTGGAGAGGACACGCGAGAGGACACAAGACCCTTCCGAAGGCCACATCGCCATTGGAGTGTAAGAAGGCACGTGTCGCGAGGCACAGGACACAAGGGTACCCTTGAGCTGGCAGGGTAGACCTACTAATCTGGGCCGACTGTACTGGGGTTGAGGGGTCCTGACCAGTCGTCAGAAACCAGCCGCAAAAAGCCAAGAGCTGGTCTTCAGGGGGGGCGGCGGGGAGGCGGGGAGGCGGGGGCCCGCGCCGTTCGGCGCAACGAGACGCCAAAGAATGGCTGCCATGTCAGCACGCTGCGCCCCTGCTCGACCGCCAGCTCGGACCCCCTGGGAGGCTTGGACTGGGGTTAAGTCGGGCGTGTCCCCCTACAGGAGGATTTTCGACGAGAAATAAAAAATACTCAAAAAATACCCCCCAATGGTAAAACAATGCTGCAAAATTAGTCCCCAGACTATTGTTCGACTATTTTTGAATATTCCTCTTGTAGAGGGACGAGCCCGACTTAAGATTGGGGGTCCGAAAACCGTGTGGTGACAGACCCGGCGGCGACCTCGAAATCCGCAGAGACCGCACCGCAGAGTCCGTCACCGCACGGTTTCGGGACCCTGGAGGCCCCAGTCGCCCGAGACATCCCCGGAGAACGACCCAAGTCCCAAAACCGTGCGGTGACCCCGAACCCCCACCGACTCAACACACGGTGTGGGTCACCACCCCGTTTGGGGGCCCCCGACTGGAGCTGCTGGCCTGCCTCCCCGAGGCGGCCCGCCGGGTGAGTGCGGCGCAGAGCGAAAACCACGCGGGCGCCTGCTCGCTCTCTGGCGGGTCCAGCCGGGCGAACTCGGCCCAGGGCCTCAGGCGGGCGAAATGCGCCTCTGCGGGGGAGGGCAAGGCCAGCCAGCATCATAACCGGGACGCCGGGTATTCCATCTCGGCGGCGAGCGAGGGGGGGAAGTGAAAAGGAAAAGGCCTTCTGAGAAGGCGGCGGGACTTCTCAGAAACCCTCGTACCCTCTGACAAGTCTTCCGTCTTCGGAGGAGACATGGAAAACTTCTCAGAAGGCTGAGGGACTTCCGAACCTTCGGAGAAGGCCCGCCCCTTCTCACTTCTCCCCGGGGCTCGCCGCCGAGCATCGGGACGTGCGTCGGATGGGGCTGCATCGGCACAGAGTCGAATCTCGAATCGGATCGGCTGCGCCAGCATGCCAAACTGCAAGCAACGGGCCGCATCGGATCGGCGGGACGTCGGAATCTGGGAAAACAGAAGTTACCGATACCGCTACTCCCCGGACCTCTCCCAAGGAGCGCTCTAATCAGGATTTCGAAGCGAATCCAGCCGTGGCGACGAGGGCCTCCAAGGAGGCGCATAACGCGGGGGTAAAAGGAATGATGGCTTTATGGTACCCTCTCCTCCTCTGGGAATCGAATCGGATCGAAATGGCCGATCGGATCGAGCTGGACCCGGGGAGGTGGGCCGGCGGCACGCCAGAGTGGCCCCAGGCAGTAGTGGCTTGTGGTGCGCGGCTCTTCAGGTGTCTGGGCACAGCTCACGAGACAGCATCGAAGTCGCGCCGCAAGGAACTTGCAGCCAGATTTCCGACGAGGTGACTTGTTCAATTCGGGTGTGCTTTGTGTTTGCAATTTCGGCCTCTGGGTGCCGCTATCGGGTCCCGGGACCATCAAATATGGATCCTTGACGAAAAACTACCCCGTGGAAGGGGTCGGGACTTCTGGACACAACTAACGAAACAAAACTGAAGGCTCGCCGCTAGGAGCTTGCCCCCGCCCTCCAGAGTTGAAGCCAGCGCACCGAGGTGCGCGGGCGGGAAAGCTTTAGGCCAAAAGCCGAGCGCGTCGGTCAACTTTGAAGGGGCCGCTCAACAAAGAATACCCGAATTCGCCTCTCAAGTCTGTGGAGACCACTCAAAAATGACGCATCGCCAACAGCCTCCAAGCGGCCTCGCGCTAGTTGCGACTGCACTTGAAGGGGACACAAGGACCCCTGTGGGCCCGCACCACAGGTCACTCCGTCGGACCTTCACGCGAGGCCGAGGAGGGGGGGGGAAGAAGATGAGCCCAGCACGATCCCGAGCAAGGGTATTATTTTACTGGCGATGTACATGTGGCACGCGTTGAGGCGGGGTGCAGCGAGGCGATGTGCCATCCACTGCAAATCCACAGCACTGTGTAGCAATGGATTGCGCATGTAGCACTGCCGAGCATACCATGCTACAACAATATTGTAGAGTGTTGAGTATCACCACGTATTCTGGCTTGTGGCGTAGGGTAGCATAACGCAGCATTGCATGACATTGAAAACGAATAGCTGGCGCGGACCCCAAGCGGGGAGTTATTGCACTGAGGAAAACTGTATGCTATGGAATGCATGTGCTGGAAGCTATGAATTTCAAACTCTGCGGTGTGAGCTATGTGGTGCAAGCTATGCTACGTAAGCTATGTGGTGTTAGCAATGCTGTGTTAAATTATGTGGTGCGAACTATATGCCATGAACTGCGTTGCGTAAGCTATGTGGTGACATCCGTGATGTGTAATGTATGTTGTGTGAGTCATGCGGCATGAGTTATACTGTGTAGTGCGCGTGGAGTGAACCCGTGCGGTGGAAACGAGCCCTCGTGAGCCATGCTGTGCGAGCTATGCTGCGTGCGCTCTGTGGTGTGAGCTGTGCGCTGCGAGCTACGGGGTGCAAACTCCGTGGTGGGAGCAATGGTCTGTGTGCTCGAACGGGGCGCCCACGGGGCACCAACGCGGCGAGGGCACGGGCGCCAGCGTGGCGAACCCTCGCGAAACGCACCCAGGCGGACAGGAGCGCCCACGGGGCGCGCACGAGCGGGCGCCGGGCGCCCGCGCGGCGAATCCACGGGAAGCCCACCCAGCGCACGGGGCGCCCACGAGGCGCCCACGAGCGGGCACGGCCGCCAGCGTGGCGAACCCCCGGGAAGCTGATCCAACGACAAATGACGTCCAAGCAGGAAACACCGATTTCAGGGGGAGGTAAGACCTGGGTACAGGGGACTCGGAAATCCCCGACGAGGACGTCAAAAAAATGACGAGGCCGAGCCTGCATTTTGACGAGGCCTCCCGCTGCAGACATCCCACGAAACTCCTCCTTATCAAAATCCGAGGCGCGGTCGTCAAAAAACGATGGCGAACCCGAGTCCTGGCAAACCCGGGTCTTACGCTTCCCCGACGATTGGGGAACGTTGAAAACTCGGCGCGACAGAACATCACACGGCATGGCACTGCCTGGCCAAGTGTGACAGACATACGGCAACACAACCTTGCGTCGGATAAGGTGGTAAAACATAGGCGAGTGCCTAGCGCAGTCGAAAAAACATCCGTACGGTATCAAGGCTTCGCCCATCTTGCCACTGCGCGCGGCCATGGATTCTCGACGTCGGCGCGGTTGGCGGAGACGCTAACGGGGAACACGCGTGCTCGAGGTCCCTCCGGGTCCCCAGATCTCGCCCCAATCGGCGCGTTCCCCCGAGGAGCCGACCGCAGCGGCCAGCATTTCGGCCGGCGCCTCCAGACAGGAGCTGCTGCTCGGCGTGTCGCGGCGGCGGCTGCTGCCTCTGCGACACGCGATCCCTTGCAGGCTGATAGCGTGGCGCTCCACTCCGCGCGACGGGAGGCTTCGAAAGGCTCGGCGCGTTGACGCTCGAGGCGCGGCGTGTGGTCAACGTGTCGCGCCAGAGCGTGCTGGACCAGAACCAGCAGAGCGACACGCTGAGCCGAAGCTCCTGACCGTATATCACACCACTGCCATACCATCGCAAACCAATGACCTTGAGATGGCCCAGCACAGCAACGGTATCAACATGCCGGTAGCATGGCAGAGCATGCCGTAAAACATGAGCGGGGCGCGAGGAGCCTGCGCCTCAAAATCGCGAGGACTCGGCCATGTAACGGACCCGCGACAGCGCCTCTCATCGCAACGCAGAGGGGAGACCTCTGGGCAAACTCGAATTTGAAGATGAATCGCGAACAGCAGCGTGCCAGCATTTTCCCTGCCATGTCTGGCACGCAGAAGCCTGCTTCGGGCCCTTGGGCCACCACAAACTGGCCTCAAATCGCGTCGTCGGCTGCCTGGGGAGGAAGCGAAGGCGCGAGCAAGCACGCAACGACTCATGCAGCCCTGGTGCGCAAAACTGGGGCCTGATGGAACCAACAAGTCAGAGCCGGGGCGAACTATATGTGGCACGCCAGGTCTGCCTTCTGGGAGAGGGGGCCACCCGCCCTCGCTCCAAAGACGCGTTCTCGTCGATGGCAGCCCTCGCCGCGGGCGTGCATGCGTGCAGGGCGCCCTGTGAAAGGGGGCCGAGGCACGCGCCCCGCCCGTCCCCTGTCGGAGGACGAGGGGGGGGGGAAGGACGAGGAGGAGGTCGGAGGAGGGGGTCGGAGGAGGAGGAGGAGAAGGAGGAGGGGGTCGGAGGAGGAGGAGGAGGAGGAGGAGGAGGAGGAGGAGGAGGAGGAGGAGTAGGGGGAGGAGTAGGAGGAGGGGGAGGAGGTGGAGGAGGTCGGAGCCCTGGATCCAGGAGATTGGGGAGGAGGCCAAGGAGGCCAGAGCCCTGGAGGAGGATTGGAAGGAGCACGAGGCGGTCCAAGGGATCACAGCCTTTCCAGGACATTCAGCCACAGGTACCGACCAGTGGCGCGTTCGGGACTTCAATCGGCTTCCAGAGGCAGGTCTAACGCAGCTCACGGCTATCTTGAACGTCATCGAGCGGCAGCCAGCGATGCCCGTGCAGTACTTGGGGAACCTTGTCGCGCTCAAGCCGAAAACGGTGGGCTCGGACAGACCGATCACGTCACTGCCTCGCTCTACCGCTCAATCATTCGACTTCGGAAGGGGAGGATTGGGTCATGGGAGCTCGCCAAGGCAGGACACTGGGATGCGGCGATCAAGGGATCCAGATGCCTGAGAGCAGGCATCATTCCAAGGCTTTTTGCAGAGATGGGAAGCGTGCTCAAGATCACCATCGTCGAAGGGATCGTAGATTCAGAAAAGTCCTTTGACACGATCAGCACGCGCAAGTTAGCAGGTAAAGCCAGAGAGATGAATTATCCCAAAGTTGAGCTAAGTCTTGGCATCATGACACATCTAGCAGCACGCTTCCTGACCACAGAGCTTGGCATCAACGAACGCATCATCCCGCAGGGCAGTATTCTCGCAGGTTGTGGACAGAGTATCGCGTGGGCTCGAGTCCTCTTGCACGATCTGTTGCATGCTGCGCACCTCCAGTTCTCTCGGCTCAAGCTCAAGACATGGGTCGATGACCTTCGTGCTAGGATGGTGGCCTCCGAGAAGGCCCTGGTGGAGCAGTACCCCCAGGTCATCCAGTTCCTCCAGGATGGGCTCCAGGAGTTAGGCTGCAGGCTCTCCCCCAAGTCCACCCTCATTTCGAACGACAACGAGGTCAGAGCGCAGATAATCGCGGACTGCCAGGCCGGAGACATGCCCCTCAAGAAAAAAACTCAGTACCAGGGATCTCGGGTTAGACTCCACGGTTGGGAAAAAACAGGTACCTAAAGGTCAATCGGGCTCGGCAGCGTCTCGGGTTCAAGCGTGCACAAAAACATTAGGAGGCTCCTGAAGGTCACGAAAGGCGCCCACAAGCTCCATAGGACAGGTGCTCAACCACATGTGCAATGGGGACTCGAAGGCCATGGAGTTTCACCAACAGAACTCAATCTACACCGGGGTGCAGAAGGATCAGCACTCGGTGTCAGCACGCCAGGCAGTTGTCTCACCGCAGGGCGACATCAGGCGAAGCTGACGCCTGAGGCCCTGGACCCAGCCATTTTCACGCGCGTCAGGCTCTTGGACATGCGGTTCGAGGCGGCCAACACCGAGCCGCCGTTGCGAGAGGGTACCAGCAAGGCCTGGCCCCACGTCCTCATGAGGCTCCACGGGGGACGCGTATGGAAGCACAGCCACAGCCACCTCGGCGCCGTCATCGGGACCCTCTTGGAACGCGGGCGGGACCCTGGACCCGCATGGGCCTGGAAACGGCCGGCTGGCGAAATCTTCGCTGCTCGACCCGGAAAGTACGAGGCACCAGATTATTGCACGTGCAGGTTCCAGAGTGTGTTGCAGCATAAGGTTTGGAGTGCCGCCCAGACAGGGCACAATTCAGGCGGGTGCCAGGCAGGAGTCGACATTCGCAATGCCGAGTGGCAGATCGAGCGGCTCTACCGCGACGGGCACCAGCACCTCGCGAAGGCCCTCGAGGCCGTGGGAAGTTGCTCAGCTTGGAGTCCCCGACGTCGCTTCGAGAGTGGCCTGCAGGAAGGCAGCGATTGCCCGACCCGTGGAGACCAGTACTGCGATGATGAGCACACGTTCTGGGGACGCCCACTCCTCTTCCAAGCAGGACACCCTCGGATCCAAGAAACCCAAGACTTGATTGACATGGCCCTTGGAGACGATCAGCCAGAGTGTCTGTGATTACGAGGTCTCATCCCAGCTGAGCTCGCTCTGAAAGCCGTAGAAGGGACCACGCCCCATCGCCCCGTCCTGCAAGGGACAAGGGCTTGCCTGGGCTCCCCGCGCCCAGCGGTGGTTGGCAGCTAGGCGCGGTGGATGGTTCAGGGGGCCCCAGATCCCAGGATCCCTGCCTTCGGCGAGTGTGATGGGCTGCAGGGGTGTGGTCTGAAGATCTTAACCTCCTGGGGACATTCCAGGGTAATGCAGTAGGGTTACAGACTGCAGCCTGGGCCGGATTGAAGGGGCCGTAGAGCTCCTCCGTCACACCCAGGGGGACCTCATTCTAGTCTCGGATCCCCTCAATCTAGTCAGAGGGCGTAGGAAAAAGGCGCCGTAGGATGCAACCTTCCAACAGACGCCTGTAGCAGGAGTACTGGTCAGCCCCAAGCGCTCGGACAGGCCAGCTCTCCTACCCCAAAGTCAAGTCACGCCTTTCCACGCCCGCGGAGCGGACGAAGTATCCAGCTTGGGCGGCCCTTGCCAATGAGAAGGCCGACGAGCTAGCTGACGAATCCGCTGCGCGGGCCGCCGTACCCCCAACCTGGCCCAAGGGGTCGAGGCCCTGGATGTGCTTGCAGAGCAATTCCGAGGGAAGCTCTCCGCAGTTCAGATGTTGTGGTTGACACATTACCCAGTCCAGCAAAAGGCCGCCGACTCCAAGAGAGAGGGACGACAGGTCCGATCCGAAGAAGCGTTCAATTATCTCCTGGAAAGTGCCTCCCACTGGCCAATTCTCGAGGGCGAATTTGTCAGGTGCAGCAGGTGCCAGAAGCGGACGCAAAAATGTCGAGCTGCTCGGTGGTTGCGCCTGAATTGTATTTGCCCGAAGCCCCTCCATGCACGCAGCTAGCAGGGCATCAGCCGCAACAATCGTGATTTCAGCCAGCCAGCTCTTCCATCCGCCAACAGCTGAAGCAGACAGATCGTGTCACGGCCAGTGGGAGGTGCGAGTATTCTGACGGAAGCTCGACTATCCTCCCCAGCCACCAACTCCACCTTGCGTTCCGTCGGGGGGTCTTGTGGTATTGTAAGTCTTGGTCCTGGAAGGTTCGGGCCTCCCGTAAGTTTCAAGAAGCCTGCAAACCCCCTCCCACAAGTCAGAGCGCGGGGAGGAAGGCAAATGAGAAGCTCACACCCAGGGCTAAAAGCAAGGCCTGCTGGGGACCTGTGAGCCCAAGTCAAGTCCCCTTAGTGCGTAAGAATCGAGGACCGCAGATCGCAGCCGCTCGCAGCCGCTCGCGGAGGAGAAGGAGGAGGAGGAGGAGGAGGATGAGGAGGAGGAGGAGGGGGGTCGGCCCGCCAAAGGGGCACGGTCGTGGCAGCAGCAAGACACGCTGCGGCCCTCGAGACCGAGTCGCTCTATCTGCGAGGGCGGGCCCGCCTCTCTGGTCGGGAGACTACAGGTTTGATCGGGGCGCGCGAGGGCCAACACTTGGCCAACACATTCGGAGACTGGCAAGTTGAAGGCCTGCTGCGCAACACCTCCTATGCACTGCCCGACGCCAGACCTCCTGGGCAAGATAATCACTTGGGGTGCGTCGAGCTTTTCTCCCCCCGTGCTCGTGCAGCTGCCCAAACGAGCACACGTCGTGCAGCACAGCTGACCGCTCACCACCACGAGCGAATGGGGCTGGTGCACCGTCCTGCCACCGATCCGGAGGGAGGGGCAGGTCGAGGCACGGCTCGGGAGGGGACCACTGTACACCGAGATAAACCTCCTTCCCCTGGGCAACGGCTGGCTCGCATCCAGACGTCTACTGAGACTCTCGAAGGCCCTGATTTACAGTGGAAGCAAAACCAGCATTCCTTGTCATGGGGATGCTGCTGCACGCGGTGGCTCGCGACACGCTCGAGCTCCTGCCGAAGCGGGGCTGTCTTCACTGACTCTCAGGGGAGGCGGCGGGCGCCGGTTGTCGACTCCGGGCAGAGAGTTATGCTTCAGACGCCACTGCTGCCATGTGCTTACGCACTCGTGCCAGGGAGGGTTTTCAAACCAATGAAAGGAACTAGGCTGGGGCTGGATCAGACTGAAGGCCTTCTCCAGGCCTCGCTACGCTAAGGCAGGAGGAGGATGAGGAGGGTGGAAGGAGGAGGAGGGAAGGATGATGATGACGATGATGATGATGATGATGATGATGATGATGATGATGATGGTGATGATGATGATGATGATGATGATGATGGTGGTGGTGGTGATGATGATGATGATGATGAGAAGGAGGAGGAGGAGGAGGAGGAGGAGGGGAGGAGGGGGAGGGGAGGGGGAGGAGGAAGAATGTCCGACTTCCACAAGCACTACTCCAATATAAAGAGTCTGACGGCTCCGGACGCCGAAAAGAACGTGCGCAGGAGCCGTCGAGGTCTGCAAGGCAATCCGTGTCCTGCACGCCGCGGTGGCGCTGGAGTGCCAGGCCAGAAAAGAGGGGCAGCCGAGAGAAGAGGGGAGGGCATAGACAAGGGGCGACGTTAGGGGGGGGAACTGCTCCTGAGGGGGAAGGGAACGTCGACCTGGAATCGGCGATCCGAGAGGCGAGGCGGGGCTGCATTGGGGGGGGGGGCTGGCCTCTCCCCAGCAGGCCCTGGGACCCCAGCTGGCAACGCGCCTGTCTTAGAAGAGATGGCAGAGGAGAAGGGCCACAGGGAACGAACGAACGGTCGCTGGAGTCGTGGGCGCTCCAGTACAGGCAGCGTGCTAACAGAAGGACTGCTGAATAAGGAACGGAGGGGCGTTCCTGCCCGCGGCGAGTTTTGGCCAGGAATGTGTTGGTGGGCTTGTTTTCCACCACTACCACCACCATATGTAGGAGGGGGAAGGGGTCCTCCTCTTCCTCCTCCTCCTTCTCCTCCTCCTCTTCGTCCTCCTCCTCATACTCCACCTCCTTCCCCCCTCCAACTTATGGTGGTGGTGGTGGAAAACAGGCCCATGATGTGTTCCCCGATCTAGACCTAAGGAACGGCCCGAAAACCAGAGCCCCTCTGGACCCCCAAGGGATCCTCATGTCAGCGCCTTGACTGCAGGGAGCCCGCCCGTGCCCGTGTGGGCATGCCGTGGAGGCCGCAGCCCGGAAAGTGTAGGTGTTGTCCCCGCTCGTCGCTTCAGCGAGCCGCGCCTGCCGAGGAGCGACACGCGTGGTCCGGCCCATGTGGTGCACGTACTTCTCATCTCATTTGAAGAAGATCGGGGAAAGAGAACGGGACCCTACATTAGAAGCGGCGGCCGGGGGGTCTGCGCTGGATGGGCCCCGAGAGAAGCGGGCACGAGGGGGGTACAAATCGGTGCCCAGACCCCTCCCGGGGCGAAAACCGGCAAGCTGTTCAGGGCGCCTATCCCCCCCCCCAGTTCTGCTGGCCAGCAGCAGTGCTGGGCCACCTCAGCCCCCCAGCCCAACCCAGATATGCGATGTCTTGATTTTTCCCCAACCATCCTGCGGTGTGTGTTGGGTCCCCGTTTTGAAGGGGCAGCGCCCCGCGTCACCTACTCCTTCTTCAACCTCCCACCCCGCCTCAGCCCTCCGCATGGAAATCATTTCGGCACACCCTTCACACGCGTCGTGGCAGCATAGGGAGCTCCGCCGAAGGCCCCAGTGGCTGCGTTCGCATGGCGGCACCGCACTCATGTCGGCACACCCCTCACACGTTTCGTGGCCCTACAGGGAGCTCCACGAAAGGCATCAGTGGCTGCATTCGCAGCACCGAACCTATTTCGGCACATCCGTTACATGGTTAGTGGTCCCATAGGGGGCTCCGCCGAATGCCCCAGTGGCTGCGTTCGCATGGCGGCACCGGATCCATTTCTGCACAACTCTCGCAAATTCAATGGCCCCCGAACGAGCTCAACCAGAGAAGATACTCAAAACCGCGCTACTCACAACGGCAAATGGTGGGGTTCTTCTCCAATATAATTCAGAGCGTGGTCCCTGGAAATCCCGACCCTCGCCTCTGGGCAAATGTTTCATCCCGAGTCGTTTTTGGAGGGTCCCAGAAACGCCGACAACCGCCAAAAACCAACCGTACTTGTGTTCGCGACGTGACCATGTCCGAGAACAAGCCCTCCAAGAGCACATGCCGCCCCCGTGGGCAGGGTGGAGCAGCGGGCGCACAGCCCGCCTGCACGACCAGCGGGCCGACCGCGACCAGCGCGCGGAGCCCGTCGACCACCGCCTCGTGGCAGGCCTGCGTGCCCCGGGCCGCCCTCCCGCCCTGCCGGTCTCTCGGCCGCCAGCCCTGGGGCGACGAAACGAAACGGGTCGTGCACGCGATGACGCAGCGACCCTGCGCCGCGCCTCGTGCCAGCCGCCAGCGCGGCACACCGCGTGGAGAGGAGGGCGCTGGCGCGCGGCCCGTCGTTGGATGTCTGCGCAGTCGACCCCCGCGTTTCCGCGGCACCAGCTCGCCGTCGTCGTGGTCGTCGTGCCTGGCTGGTCGGGCACTGGGGGTCAGCGTCGTGGTCGTCCCAGTTGGTCGGTCGCCGGGTCTGAGTGCCAATCGGCGCGGTGAGGCAGGGGGCGTCAGAAGGGGGGCGGCAGCGATCGCCGCAGCGGGCAGCGGTCGTCGTGCTCCTCCTCCTCATGAACCTCTTCTTCTTCTTCCTCCTCCTCCTCGACCTTCCTTCTCTCTTTCTCTGGCCTTCGCCCCCCCTCCCTACCCCTCCAACCTCTATCTCCTCCTCGCCATCGCCGTCGCCGTCCCGTCGTCTTCCTTCTCTTTTTGCTTGGCCTTCGTCCACGCCCTCCCCCCTCTCCCCCTCCCTTTTCATCCGTCGCCACGGCTGGACAGCACGGCGAACCAGAAAACGGGTCGGGACGAGGCCTGGGGGAGGGACCTGGGGATCGACTTCTAGGGTGTGGGTCTGGATGTGGCGGAAGGAGGAACCTTGACATCTGCGTTACGTGCGCGCGGGGGGAAGGAATGCACAGGCAATAATGAAATGCCACGCCTTTTCACGCCGTGGGGCAATCCCTGTGCGCCTCTCTGGCGTCGAGGAAGTACCACGCCTGCCACGCCCTGGGAGCATGAGACGCACAGGGGAACAACCCCCTGCGCACCCTCCCTGGTGCCGAAAACATGCAACGCTGGTGTGCGTGGGCTTGTGCGTGTAATTCCGCGCCCCGCGTCTGGTGTGTCTGCGCAGTGCGCTTGTGCGTGTATGCGAGCGTGTGTTGTGCGATGTGTGATGCGTCGATGCGTGTGTGTCTGTGTGTGTGTGCGTGTGTCTGTGTGTGTGTGTGCGTGTGTGCGTTTGTGTGTGATGCGTGTGTGATGCGTGTGTGTGTGTGTGTGTGCGTGTGTGCGTGTGTGCGTGTGTGCGTGCGTGCGTGCGTGTGCGTGTGTGCGCGCGTGTGTGTGTGTGTGTGTGTGTGCGTGTGTGCGTGTGTGTGTGTGTGTGTGTGTGTGTGTGTGTGTGCGTGTGGTTCCGTGCGTGCGTGCGTGCGTGCGCGCGCGTGCCTGCGTGCGTGTGCGTGCGTGCGTGTAGATGGGCGTCTGTGTTGTGTGGTGTGTGCGTCCGTGTGTGTAACGAGTTGGCGTGTCTGCGTCCCTCGCCTTACGTGGGGTTTTCTTGGCATGTCTGCGTGCCTCGTCTTACTAGCACCTTCCGGTGCTGCGGTAGTATGCGTGCGTGTGTGTTGATGTGTGCGCGTGTCTAGACAGAAGGACAAGCGAGGCTACCCACGGGCTAAAGCAAAGTCCCGTGCGAACTAGTCTTTTGGTCACAAAGTGTTCGCACTTTAGCATCAGGAGAAAGAAGGACAGGGAGGAGGGAGGACCATGAGGAGAAACGCAAGTGCGACGCAAGTGTGAAAGGAAATCATAATCACACTTAGCAGGTGGAAGAGACACAAAACGAGAGCCCCCAAAAGGCCTCAAGAGGCGCACGAGACGTCAAGAACTATCCACAACGAGACCGCAAATGAGGCCCCTGGCAGCCGCGAACGTGAGAACACACGCGGCTTGTCTACGACGTTTGCTGTTCATGTTTCCTACCAATGGTGGCATTGAGAGCGTTGAAGTGGGCTGAAAGGCAGCCCAAGAGCGGCTCAACACCTGTACCGAAGTCGGCTCAAGCGGGCCTCTGGAGGGGCCACAGAAGACGGTCGACGAATCCGCCAAGACGACCCCAGACGACCCCCAGAGGGCCTCAAGATGCCTAAAGGCAGCACTCAACGACGAAAGGCCACGATGCACGGTTGCCCTGCGGACGCATGAATCCCGAGAGCAAGATTTGACAGTGCGATCAACGTTCTCCTTCTCCTCGCCAACTATCCTGAAATCCCAACAACCGATGCCGTGATTTGTTCGGCAAGAGGTTCCCCAAAAATCCGGACCCCTTCCCAGGGGCCGGTTTTCCATCCAGGGTCGTTGTCTGATGGTCCTGGCGCCACAGATACAAGGCACAATCACTACCCGCAGAATCAGCACCCCGACAAGCGAAGCCCTGTAGAACACACCTGGGGAGGGGATCGAACAGGGCAGGTCTGTTTATCGGGTCGGGCGAAAGGGGGGATAGCAAAGGGGGGGGGTGAGAATCAGCTCACGTAGCAAATTTTCACGGCGCCTCCCGGCGCCAGAGGGAGCTATGTATCGAGGAATGGGCCCCTCGGTGAGGCCGAAACCAGCTGCATGCAGCAAATTTCATAACCCCCCCTTTCCCAATCCCCCCCTTTCGTCCGGCCCGAGTTAAGGAAATGCCACGAGCTGTGCAGTGAGCGCCAACTGTGGGGGCGTCGGGGCGGCCTTACCTCCCCCGACAGAGCTAGACCCGCCGCAACTCGAACACAGTAAACCAACCGTGGGGGTCGGGGTGGCTTTCCCTCCCCCGACAGAACTAGACCCGCCGCAGCTCGAACATAGCAAGCGCCAACTTGGGGGGGTCGGGGTGGCTTTCCCTCCCCCGACATACCTAGACCCGCCGCAACTCGAACATTGTCACACGCCCGTCTTGTTTTTTTTTCTCGAACTTGGAGGCTCCGGGCACGGCGCCGGCGTGTGGTGCCTCGGCCCCTTCCTTCACGACCTCCACCGCGCTGGAGTCGCAGTCGCTGGCCTGGGGCGGGCGCCGCGCACGGGATGTTCACAGGATGTGCGGGCGGGCCTCTCTCCCACCACGTGCAGCGCACCACTTCTGGCAGGTTCCACGCCTCGCGAGCCTGCCCCGGAGAGGGCCCACCGTGCCATTGGGCACATGCGGTGGTACATCTGTCTGTCCGACATCTACAGGAAAAAGGGGCCCTGGGACACACGGAGAAATACCGATACGTGTTCGTCTTCCCCCCCCACTTTCCATAGTTTCCCATCTGTTCCTGAGAGTCGTCGATGAATTGTGCCTGTGTGTGTGTTTTCCCCCTACCGAATCTGGGGGCACGTCCTTCGTCGACTCTGAGCTCCGCAGAATGCCGCAAGACTCTGCGGGCCCACCGGGAGATATCGGACACTGCCGGCAGACCACCTTTGGTATTTGGTGTGCGCTGATGGGCCTGTGTTTCACCACCACCACCATAAGCTGGAGGGGGGAAGGAGGTGCAAGAGGGGGAGGAGGAGGAGGAGGAGGAGGAGGAGGAGGAGGAGGAGGAGGAGGAGGAGGAGGAGGAAGGAGGAGGAAGAGGAGGAGGAGGAGGAGGACCCCTCCCCCTCCTACTCATGGTGGTGGTGGTGGGAAACCAGCCCATCATGCGCACTGTGCCGTGCGCGGTGGAGGCTGCGAGCATACCGAGCCTGGAGCCTGCGCAGGAACGACAAGAAGGGGGAGCCAACGCTCCCACCACATCGAGGCGAAGAGCCCACACCCACAACGGCCTGGACAGACATGGAGCCAGACAATATGTGTCGCTTCCGGCATCCCAACAAAAAAATCGCGGGTCCAGGGGACCGCCAAAATCTAGCCAGGAAGAACCACTTCCCCCCAGGAATAAGGCGAGACTTCCAGAGACCGCGTAGCATACAAGCAGACAACGAAGATCAGGGCAAGGGAGGAAGTGCGAGAAACTTTGCTCATTCATTGCCTTACTGCAGAGGTTCCTCCCCATCGAAGCACAATGAGAACGGGATGCTAATGTTCCAGCGCGGATCCCGCAAGCTTCAATGACTCGGGTGTACTTGGGCCGTATGGGGTTATCCTGGGAACCTCTTGGACCGCACTGTGGCCATCTTGGGGCCTCATGGGTGGGGCGTCTTCGGGGGGGGTTCTTTCTTGGTGCCATCCTGACGTCCATTGTGGAGTCTTGGGCCTGTTTGGGAGGGTCTTGAGCCTGTCTGGGAGATCTTGGGCTCGCTTTGGGGCGATCTTGGGCTGTCCTGCGGCCATATTGGAGCTGTCAGGTGTGAACCTCTTGGAGGCCATGGGGCACGACGTGGGCGAATGATGTGCGGAACTGGGGCCCAGCGAACAGCCCATAAAATGCCACGGGCCACGAAGCGAGCGAGGGGTGCGCCGACGATGGGATCCCTTGGGCGGTCTTGAGCTGTCAGCTGAGGGCCCCTGGGGAGATTATGATGCACGACAAGCGTGACCGTTGTGCCGGATTCGGGTTCCCTTGGTCCATGCTTGTGGCAAGCTGCGAACCAAAATCTCCCCTGCGATGCAGGCCAGCACCTCCAGATCTCCGTCGCAATCCAAGCCAACATCTCCACGGCGATCCGGGCCAGCATCTTTACCGCGCTCTCCGCCGCGATCCAGGGCCAAATCCCGCCGCGATCCAGGCCAAGACCTCCAGCACGATTTCCGCCACCACCGCAGCGACCCCACAGATGCCTTATTCTTTTTGTTGGGCGGGGAGTGGTGCCCTCCTGCTCCCATCCTTTCCAGGCCGCCGTGGGTCCAGGCCCTCTGCCTCATTGTGTCAGCACCCCGCCACATCCCGACAGCACACGGAGGCACTCGGCGCTTCACCCACGGCGCCGTCCTCCGGAGGAGCGAGCACTAATTGCCAGCAGCAGTCCGCATCCAGCTGGGGGGCATTCCGAGGCGGCGCCGCCGCCAAGCCTCAGCTTGCCTTGCCTGGAGGTCGGATCGGGGGTGGAGGTCGGGAGGCAGGCCGAGGGTCGACGGGGCCGGGGCCGAGGACCGAGGCGCGGGCTGCCCCGACGGACGGGCGACGGTGTGGAGCTGGGAGGCCGAGCGTCGACGGGGCCGGGGCCGCGGGTGGCGCTGGACCTTGCCGTCGCTCGGACGTCCACTCTGCGTGAATATTTCGGTTTCGTGCGTTGGATATGCACAGGCGTACGTGTATAATATATGTATATGTGTACATATTTGTATATGTATATATATATATATGTATATATATAGATAGACATTCACTCACACACACACACTAGAGACACGCGCGCGCTTCGCGCGCGCTTAGGTTCTGGCAAGCTATAGCTGTAGTCTGAAGTGTGCGGTATTGGGGGACGCAGATTGTCGCACGGCTCGTGCCCTGAGGGAGCTCCGTTTTTGGCCCCAGAGACAGGCTTGGCTAGCGTTCCTCCCTCCTTGTCGGCACACCCCTCACAGGGATCGCGCCCCGCAGGGAGCTCCACCTACGTTGCCAGAGCCAAGGCTCGCACAGTGGCACGCCCCTCACGCGGATCGTGCCTCGCGAATAGTTGCATTTGTGGCACCAGAGTGGAGCTTCATAGCGTCGCTCAGCTCACTGCGACACACCTCGCACACGGATCGTGGCCCGCAAGGGGTTCCACGGACGGCCCTGGACCCACGGTTCGCATCCTGCCCTCTCGCCTACTTCGGCACAGCTGGCACACGGATCGTGGCCCAGAGGGATCTCCATCCAATTACGGCCCCATGGGCAAGGTTCGCACTGCGCCCCCCTGGCCATTGCGGCACACCCCATCACGCGGATCTTGCCCACAAGGAGCGCCACCTAAAGGCCCGAAGAGAAGGTTCATTCAACGCTCCCCCTGCCCATGTCGGCAGACGCGTCACGCGAACCATGCCCCAGAGGGAGCTCCACCTATGGCACCAATGGGCAGCTTCGCATGGCGTAACCCAGGCCAATTCGGAACATGCCTCGCACGGGTCGTGCCTGGAGGAGGTCCACCTGAGGCCTCAGTGGGGGCAATCGCGCGAGGGTATCCGAATTACTCATCACATCCCTTCGCACGGATCGTGCCCTGCAAGAAATACAAGACTTCAACACACCCGTGCACGCATGTTCCGCAGCAGCCATCTTGCCGAAATTCCCCGCGGCGCACAGTGCACCACTTACTTGCTTATCTAGTACCTTCGGTCCATACAGCCACTGCATCTGCGTCTTAGGCCACCCCCGAGGGCCTCCTGAGCCGCTCCCCGGCTGCTCAAGACAGCCCTTGGGGCGCTCCAAAAGCGCCCACGATGGGTTCCAGACTGCCCGAGAGGCGAGGCCGCCAAGAGCACCCAAAAGCGCCCCACAGGCGCCCCCAAACCGCTCAAGATAACCTCCCGGCGGCCCCAGAGATCTCCAAGCCGCCCCGAGATAGCTTCGAGAGGCTGGCCCCAAGAGGCCCAACTCGATCCATTCCCTGCGGAAGACGTGCATGTTGCACACATTCACCATTTTGGTCTTTACAGCGTCCAAGACGGCCCAACTGCTCCCTTACGATCGCCCCACGACGGCCACATAGGCCCCCAATGAGGCATCAAAGCTGCCGAAGAGAGGCTGAAGACCAGTGCGGGGCGCTACTTCAGTGGAGCTGTCTATCACCGAATCGCACCACCCAGTGAATGTCAGTGGTGATGAGCAGGAGGGAGAAGGAAGGAGGAGAAGGAGGTTCTCCAGAACCTACTTCAGGCATTTCAAGGGACGGGGCAGACAGGGACGCCAGGGCTCGGTGAGGGCCACCAGACGCCCTGCATATACGCTGGCGTACGGGGGGCGGCCCGGGCCCTGGCCAAGACACCCCGCCAAAATTCCCCCACGACATGTTTGACCGCTTCGGGGGCCTCCCGGAAGCCACCAAAACGCGACCAGGGCCGAAGACGCCCGAATCTTGTTTCAAAACGGTGCGGGAGGCCCTGGAGACGTCGAACGCTCCAAGATGGGCCCCGATAGGGCCTGAGGAGGCCAAACTTGATTCATCCCTAAGGGGGACGGCACATGCTTGGCACATTCGCACTTTGGGCTTTAACAAGTTTGAAATCGTTCCCAAGAGGTACCTCAGATCGCCCCAAGACGGTCCAAGAGGCCTCCAGGAGAGCCCCAGGACGGCCCAAGTGAGCCCCAAGACGGTCCAAGAGGCGCCCTAGACAGCCCAAAAGGGCCCAGAGGGGGAATTCCAACTGAGATTTTGAACCTTCCGCTACCGGTGGGCCCCCGAGGCCGCAGCAAACACCCAACAGGCCCCCAAGGGCCACAAAACATACACATGAGGCCACACGGAGCTTCAAGACTCGTTCCAAGAGGCGCCCGAGAATCATGCCGCATGCCAAAAAACCCTGATTTATAAGTATCAAAAGAACCTGTGGGCATGGCTTCGCAACAAAGGCTCTCAAACAAAGCTTGCGTCCAGGCTATGTTTCGAAATTCCCCAAATGTGCTACCACACGGGCCTCCCGCGCGCGCATGCCGATATCGCTCCAACGCCCTTGCGCGCGTGCTGTCGCAAGACTCCCTGTTGTACAAAAGAAAGAAAGAAGTGCGCACGCGCGCGTTGTCGCGCGCGCATGCCGAAACCCGTCAACACCCCAATGTTTCATAAGGACTCCAAAATGGACTGTCGCGGTATCAGATACAAACACATGGTTTTGCAACATCCGTTCGTAAAATGGCCTGCGCTCGGGCTCTTGCGAGTACGTTTTAATACATGTTCATGCCATTCGGCGAAGCGGGCCCTCCGCGCCGCAAGTCGACATCATTCGAACGCCCTTGCGCGCCATTCAGTCGTGCATGCACTCTCACGCGTCGGCCGCGCGCGCATGTCGAATTCCCTTCAAAAACTGCATCACCGACACGAGGGCGCCGTCATCGTCGTCAGCGTGATCAGCATCGGCGCCGTCGGTGGCCTTGCCGTCGTCGTTCTCACCATCGTCATCAACATCGCTACCATCAACATCGCGTCTACCATTGTCGG